GCCAATGGCGCACAATGGAGGGAAGGCGCGGCCCCGCCCCCGGCCCCGCCCCCGGCCCGTGTGTACAAACACAAAAGGCACGCCGCGCGCGCCCGGGGATTCCCTGCGCCCGCCGCCGCTCGCCGGGCTCGGCATGGGCCCCTTCCCGTCCGGGGGTCACCCCGCGGCCGGCAGGGCCAGGAGAGTGAGTTTACACCCCGGTACTCGGCCTTGGTGAGGCCGCGCGTCGAGTGATGCGGCCGGTTCTGGGCCACTCGCTGCAGGAAGGACGTGGAGGTGCTGGAGCGGGTCCAGAGAAAGGCGACGGAGCTGGGAAAGGGTCTGGAGCATCCATCTGACGACCAGCTGTTGAGGGAGTTGGGGTGTTTATCCGGGAGAAAAGGAGGCTCAGGAGTGACCTTATTGCTCCCTACAACTCCCTGAAAAGAGGTTGTAGCCAGGTGGGGATGGGCCTCTCCCAGGCAACCAGTGACAGGACAAGAACAAATGGCCTCCAATTGCACCAGGAACATTGGGAGGAATTTCTTCACTGAAAGGCTGACTGGACATTGGAACAGGATGCCTGGGAGGTGGTGGAGTTACCATCTCCTGGATGTGTTTAAGGAAACAGTGGGCATGGAACTTAGTGCCAAGGCCTAGTTGGGAAGTGGTGTTCGGACAAAGGCTGGACTCGATGACCTTAGAAGTCTTTTCCAACCTAATTGATTCTGTGGTTCTGTGGCTTCTTTCTTTACACAGAAGCAAAACAAAATTTCTCCCTGTAAGCAGGCCCATCAGAGCTTACGCAGCAAGGATCTGCTGTGGGAGGGCCACACCTGGTCTGTAAAATGAGAGCTGAGTGTCAGGAGGGGGCTGCTGGAGATACTTCTGTCTCAGAAACACACTGCAGGCACGATGGTTCACAGGGAAAATCTACTGTTGGGGAAGGAAGAGGAGCCTCATTTCCTGCACCAGTGCTGTGCCCCTGCTTGGGGTTTGAGACGCAGCTATTGCAAAAGCAACTCTAAGTTTAGCATTGTTATCGTCAGCATACCCCAACAGTTGTATCAGCTGCCATGATGTTTAGTGAGAAAATTTGCTCTTTATTTTCTATTAATGTCAGGATCAAAACACCCTGGGGGAAAGTAACCTGCACTCTAATACAACTGAACAGCCACTAGCAATTGTCACAAATGCATCTCAGCTCCAGAGTCAGCTCCTCTGCTCACACAACTGGTGCCACCATCTTGTCTGTCATTTAGGCATCAGAAGGAGCCATATTTGATTTGCAAAATCTCTATTACGGATGATGATGTAATGCAGCTCTGCATGGAGACATCCAAACTACCTCCAGCAGCAGAAGTGGTTTAGCCATGTGAGCATTCACTTGGGGCTAATCAAACCTGACAAGAAAGAGAGTGTTATCGTGGGCAGAACACCCTGCTAAAATAGATATAGTCTGCATTAGTGCTCAGATAAAAACAACGGGCTGCACTACACAGACATGACCGGACATGCCACACACACACACACCTCTGACCCTACGGTGAGTTTATGAGAGGTGGCTGTCAGGAAGGAGAATCCACAAAGGATTTTATTTATGCTTACAGAAGTATCGATGGATTGATTTATCTATTGATAGCATTTTATGAGAGAACACCACCTTACTGGACAGTCCAAAGTGAACTCTGAGCTGTTCAGTATTACACAATAAGAGTTTTTGCAAATGCTCAGTAAACTCTAAAAGCCAGGCACCGAAATTGGCATCAATTCCCCACGCAACACACACATCCCATGACGAGCAGCTGGAAAAGTTAAAAGAGGGCAGCACCAGGCTAATAATCCATAGGCTGTCCCTGTCAGCTTTAGCTCTGCCCGCTCCCGGGGGTGTTCCCGACCCTTCTCCCGCAGGAGGAGCTGCGGCCCTCCCTGGAGCCGGGCGTGACCGAGCCCCGAGGTCACCGGCGGGGCCCGGACCCCCCCGCGCCGCGGCTGCCGCGGGTGGCACCGGACGTGCCCCCGCCGCCATTGGCGGGAGCGCCCTGGAATTCCATGACGCCAGGCGGGGCGGGGCGCGCGGCCGTCCCGGCCCCGGCGCTGCCCCCTCCCACGGCCAGCCCGTGCTTTCCTCCGGGAGCTCGGCTCTCGGGTGTCCTGGAGGGCCGCAGCGCTGCTCCCGCCCTGCCTGCTTTCAAAGGCGTGAGGAGCACCGCAGGCGGGACTGCAGGGTATTGTCTGCCCACCGCGGAACGCAGGGAAAGCACAGGGAAGGAAAAGCTGTTCCTGTATTAGCAGGTTTTGCACCTTCGTTTCATCCTCGCTGATGAATGCTTTTCCAGAGCTATAGGAGCAGGTACGGCCCTTTGAGCTTTACCACAAATGCTGTTTGCGTGCCTACAGAACAGCACAGAAAGAGCTGCCCCAACTCTACAAAGACTCCAGACGCGCTCCTTTCACTGGCAGCACCGATAAGCCTCTGCTGCTCCTTCCCGAAGGCCTTTATCTCTGCAGACCACAGGCATCTTCCACCCTAAGGCATCCATAAGCGGCCATGAAGAAATCTAACCTAATGAGATTCCACTGGTTTAGCCGGCAATAACACGCCAAGGACGACTGCAGTGCTTCATCCTCGCCCAGCGCAACCACCGCTGCTGCAAACGCGGCCAGATTGCTACGGGAAAGAAGATTAGGGTGGAAAACAGCTGGTGCAGCTTGGAGCCAAAGAAGACTCAGATGATAATGAATAGAAAAGAGGAACACTCAAATCAGAAGTTGTTTTCAGCACCTTTCACAGAAAGTAGACAGCCCTCATTCAGCAAAAAAGAGGCGGATTTCCACTGCTTGTACTCTTTTGGGCTGTTCAAGTAGCAGACATTTTCCAAAATAATCTCTGTCACCTTTCCCTTGTTGGGAAACTCTCGTCTTGCCTGGCAGACTCTGGGCGGAGCAAGGCAGGCACTTTCCCCTTCAAGATGCATAAATTGCAACTTTATATCAACCTAAAAACACTGTTTCGAATTGTTACCAGGAAAAAAACCAAACTAAATGAAACAAAATGAAACACAAAACAAGCAAAACTAACACGTTGTTGCTTTCCAAATAGCTCCCAGTCAGCTTCCAGCGCCAGTGTAATGCACTGGCCCAGTTGGAGGAAGAGCTTCCAGACCAACCCCAGTAACATCACAGACTGCAGGAACATCTACAAACTGCAGCAGCTGCTTCCCTTTGCAACAGCACAGATTACAGGCCAAACAAAACACAGCAGAGCAGATGAAATTTGCCTTTTTTGAGGTCAACTGGACCAAAAAAGAAAAAAAAGAGAGTGGAGAGTATGCTCAGAGAGAGTATGGTTGTTTTCAAGCAACACTGTAGGTAATCTTTCAGAATCATTTGAGAAAGGCATTCACATTTTGTCACCAAACTCCAAAGGGTCTCTGATCAAAGAAGAAATATTTCTTTCCTATCCCCCCAAAAGCACAAACTAAACATCCAAATGACTTAGTCTAGTTCCAGCTCAACAGATAAAGGTCCTCTCCTGTCACCCAGGGGAAACTGGGTTTGTTATTAGTTTTATCTAAAAGCTACTCTGACATTCTGGTGATGGAAGGAGTATGAAAGACTGCCTTTATTTATCTACAGCCTTCACCTGACTCCTACTTTCTTTCACCTCCTCCCAGACCCAATTCTCCCTTCCTGCTCTCAATCTCCCTTCTTTAATTTGTTGAAGCTCCAATCAACCTTTGCACTCCAGATCTGCAAGTTCTCACCTATTCCCTGCCCCAGCTCCCAGCCTAGTGGCCATTTCCTTATTTCATATTCCCTACACACCTCTTTGACTCAATATATTTGCTCAGACAGTTGCATTTTTCTCTTCTTTCTGTTTGTTTTTTCTGTCTCTGTCTTTCATCCTCTTGATTCTGGTGCCAAACAATTCCCACCTTCCCCTAGTTTTTCAGCCAGCCCCAGTCCCATACCTGCTGTGTTCCCTTCTGCAGCTCCCAGGCTGGACAGCCTTTCCTAGCCAATTTTAATCCCATCCTTAAAAAACACTGGGCTGTGTTTCTTCATCCTCACTCCAGTCCTGGCAGGCCTGCCACCCAGTTTGTGGTTATGGCTGCTATGCACTTACAATTTCTCCTGGAAATTTAAGTTAAGTGTCAGTACAAAATGATCACAAGCTTTAAAACTACCTTCCTCTTAAAATGCATTTTGACAGAATTAAAGTATTTGTAGCCTTAAGTTAGCATTAACAGTACATTTGGTGCAGATTTAAACATATTCCTAAATAATCATCTACATAAAAGACAAAAATACACATTTGCTGTTTTTTTCCTGGGAAGTTACTAGGGTTGGCAATCATTGGCACTTGTTGAGGAAAGTACAAGTCACCTAAAAACCTCAAAATGAGTTACAACAACCTTGCCTCTGTGTAAATAGCTTTCTATTAGGATTTGTTGGGAATGTTTCTATGTCATGGGTTTGTAGAGCACAGAAGTTACAGCACAGTAACAGCAGCCATTGTACTGCAGAGCTGTTTGATATGCTGAGCTGCCCATCACACAGGACACCTTCCTATCCTTTGGAATATTTATATTCTCTGTCAATACAGACACCAAAAGAACACTGGCCAGAACCAGCAGCTGTGTAGTACACCTATCTTTAGAGATTGGCACCTACTGCAAACACAGATAAGAAGTTGTTGTGTAGCAGCAGTAGTAGTAGACACAGCTTTTCCCTCACTTTTATCGTGTCTTTTAATAGTGTCTTTTGCCTTTTGCAGTTCTCTGAAATGCTTCACATACATCAGACATTATGGTCCCACTGTTCAAAGAATACTTTTAAGCAGCTCTCAAGCTCCATGGGTTCCTGGGAAGGATTCATAGTTTTTAATTTACGCCTGTGAAAAAAAGTGGATCCCTGAAAACTGAGCCGGAAGGAAAGTCTCCCTGTTTAAATAACAAGAGAAGTGTACATGTGCCACACAAAAAATTTATTGGAATTCCTGGGTTCTTCAGGAAAGCTTAAAAGAGACATCTACTTTAAAATGCAAAATCATCAGTCCTGACATCCAAAGTCCAAAGGTACTTCTTTTCACACTTTGAGCATCACATATGGCATGGGGATTCAGGACAACCTACTTTGGAGACAAAGTGCATTTTTCTAATGTCTCATAACCCAAAAGCAGTAAATCTGGGTTTTTTTTCTCCAAACCTTTTTGGTAATTAACACTGTTTCAATGGAAATTTTTTTCCAAAAGGTATTTCAAGGACAAAAATTCTAAAAGAATGAAAATAAGCCTACAATAGTTCAGAGAATAAGATTCAGGACTTCTGGATTTTGCTTCTCTTTTTAGATTACCACTAATTTTTAGGAGGCTTGGTGAGTTTAACTTGTAGGATCCTCTCCTATAAAGACTTACCAAGCTCCTAGTTTCACTGAGTATATGCCTGCTTTTATATAAGGACTCCTGGCTCTAATTCCTTATGTATCATCCAGGATTTTCTTATTATAATCTCATTTGTATTATTATTAACACACATGCACTGCTGGAACTCATCTCTCATCCTTCTAATGATGTCCCACAGAACATGAAAGAGTAAGTAACATTACCAGAGAATAGTGCTAATTCTTTATTTTCTGTGCTCTAATGAGTTTCTACTAGTGGAAAGAGTAATAAAAATCCTGTATGAGCACCCCATAATGACATCCTGAAACTCCATTCCTATTCCTATCTAGTTTGCTTATTTGTTTGTTCTTAATAGCCTTTTAGATATGCTTAATATTTTAGTATACTTTCTAATAGAAAGTAAAAAAGTCTCCATTACCTTTTGAAGACTGGAAGTTAAAAATATCTTTAATTGCCTGATCCAGAGCTAAGAACAGTTCCAGGTACATGCAATGCATGTAGATGTAACCACAGTCTTCATTTCTTCTTATCAGCTTCGAAGGACTGGCATGCAACAGTTCAGTATCTTAAGGTGGAAACAGGACTTGCAATATCATGCCAAAAAAAGCTGTATTCCTATTACACTGGTGCTATAAAAAATCCTAAACAGAAACCCCTTGTCAGTAGAACTTCAGCTTCTTATTGACTTCTCTAAGTTTATGCCCAATCTTCTTCCATTTCTCAGGAAAGTATTGTGCTTTATTCTTGGATGCTGCCAGTTTGGAGTGTACTGAAGGGTTAACTGAAACAGAAACCAAGCCCTAGCACCCGATAGGGAATAGGGCACAACAGATAATTGTGAGGTTATTGTACAGCCCTGCCAAAGCCTGGAAATTGGATGGTATGACAAGGAGTATCTGTGATTTTTTTTAGATTAAGTATGATCAAACAGGATAACATATTTCAGAGATATGATGTGAAATTTAATTATAGAAATGTGTTAAAGACATTGTGTGAAAGGACTGGTGGACAAGTAAAAAGAAAAGGGAGTTTTTCCTCTGTAATGATAATGCAAGAATCTGAAATTTACTGTAGCTGCCTAAGTTAGTTTGTATTGACAGACACATTTCAAGTGGGTTTTTGCAGAATTTTCTGCAGAACAGGGAAGAACAATTGTTCTGGGGAATATTTCTTCCCAACATTACAGCATAATAAAATTATTTAACTGATTTTAGCTCTCCTGGCTCTTCACACATGACTAAGTTATGATAACAACTTTTGCTGTCTTTTGAAGCATTGTATTGCACTGTGGAAGGAATTGGGTAGCCCATGGTTTTCTAACCAAAACTACTGCAAAATCTTTTATTTCCAGTACTTCTGTGTTCTGAGTCCATTAAAACTGCCAAGGAGGAACAACCAAGACAAGCCCTAATTGGTTCCCAAATAAGATCCCTACTACAAGTACACTGATTTCCTGGGAGCTCTGATAGTAGAATTCCAGCAGGCTGATTTGCCCCAAGGCTCACAAAACAAACCCCTGCAGGCTTGCATTAGGGAGGGGAAAAGAGGGCTCACTCTTTCCCACCACCCATTAGGCTCCCATTGGCTCCATTCTGCAGCACTGCTCTTGTAAAGGATGCCTTTTCACACACTGATGCAGGCTGCAGCCCCTGCTGACACTGCCTTGAAAGGCTCTGAGAGCTACTATATTTGACAGAACTAAAAGATAGTATTATTTATTTCATTTCTTTGCTCAGTAGGGTAATCTCATGAGATATGAATCTCTTCTTCATGAGGGCCCTAGGGATGGCAGGCAGAATGAAACTCAGCTACTCTTCAGTA